GTCATCAAGTGCAATATGGATTTCGCCTCGTTCTTCAGCACTCCTGGTTTTGATAGTCTGGTTTCCCCGTCAACCACATCGACTTCCAATAGTCCCTCTTCATCTTCATCAATGTCACTCTCCCCTCGTTCAGAATCCGCATCACTCCCATGCTCGTCGCCTCCGGCTTCTTCAGATTGACCTTCGTGATCACGATCGAATCTCGGGTCTTCCCCGTCGTACTCCTCTTCAGGAGAATACCTGTCATCACCGTGTTCCTCTGGTTCTCCTTCGACGCCTGCAACGGCTGGATTGATATCAGACTCGCCATCCTGACCTTTCTGGTTATCTTTCTTCTTTCTCCTCCGTCTCCGTGATTTCTTGAGCGGAAGTTCCTCTTGTTGTGTCTCCTGGCCTGTTGTGACCTCGTCTTCATGCCCCACACCTGACAGTATGCGATGAAGTATCGTGGCCAAGCCATCTGGTCTTGGTAAACATCTCCCGTCATCATCATTCACCTTGATGTAGGGTATGTTGTCATGCACCGATAGCGGAATCTTGTTCGCGTTCTGGTCGATGAGGTATGGCAATTGATTCGCCGGCCATATGAATGAGTACCCTTGCTCCATGCACCGTTTCCCGATGGAAAAGACTGATGGTGTGCTTTCCAACACGTGTGCCTCGGACCTCATGGGTAGTTCGTCCACATTGATGTCCACCATCTCTGATGTACTAGTTACACCATTCGCTGTCATGAAGCTCACGGATTTGGGTCCTTCCTTGGTGGTAAGGCCCATGGCATTGACTGTCTCTCTTGAGATCAAATCGTGTCCACATCCCGTGTCCATGATGAAGCGTATTGGTGGTCCATCATACCTCTCCACAGCCATGAACATCGTGGTTCCTGGTATCGTGTAGTCGACACAATCCTTCTTTACTACCTCCCTGGTGTTGAAATCAGACAGGTCGACGCTCACCTCAATTCCTTCATCTTGAGTGATTTGTACCCATGCCTTGGCAATGTGTTCAGCATAGAATAGCTCCATCATCTTACCTTTGGCATGTGCTACTCGTGCAGCTATGTTATTCACTCTGAGGGCTCTCAACGACGAAATGAGCTCGGTATCCACCTTCTGCACCTCATTCCTCCTCTTCCTGAGGGGACGGTTGTTCAGCTCATTACCAGGATCGCAGGTGAACGTGGTCACATTCGCCTGGTCATCGAATCTGACTTTAAAGCGAAGCGCCAGCTTACCTTGTTGTACGTTGGGAAGTGCGGGTTGTATGTCCTCGTCATCACTCTCGATGTCTCCGCAAAGCATGAAGGCTGGCGCAGCCGGTTTGGGCTTGGCTTTGCCTTTAGCCTCTTGCTTTGTAGCAGGAGCAGCTTGATGCTGACGTCGACATTTGTCCCCGAACTTGCACGATCCTTTCTGCCAGTTCCAACAGACCTGATCCTTCAATGTCTTAGGGCTACTGCTCCTGCCACCGGGACTCTTGGATCTGTCATCCTTGATGTTTTCTGGTTTCTTGGCAGAACTCTTGTGCTTCTCTTGATGACTGAACTTGCATTTGTCTCCTCTAGAACATCCGTTTTTCCCATGGAAGTGGAAAGCGCATCCTATCTTGGACGTATCTGCCGGAGTCGCTGATCTGCCACGGTCCCCTTTTGGGCTCTTCGTGGTTGATCTTCCACGGTCCTGCTTCTTGTCCTTCTTGTTGTGATCCTTCGGATTAGCCTGAGGAAGTACTGGAGCTGCCTGTTTCGGTGGATCGGTCTTGGTATTCTTGGGTTTGGCTTTAGGATCCTTCTTCTCCGCCGCTGGTGTGGCTTTCACGATGTTCCCAAAAGCCTTTTCCCTTTCCTTCTTGTTTGTGGTCTCAATTGATTTCCGTATCCACTTCGCCATGATCTCTCGCAACTTCTGGTAGGTCTTATCCGGATCCTTATCCAACATGTTGTCGTACACAGACAAGTCTAACGCCATCACTTTGGAATCCTTGATCTTATCCCATAGCAGGTTGCGAAGTGCTTTGTCAGGAAGCATGTCATCCGCATCCATACCTGATATGATCTCATCCCACTGTCCTAGGAATCTGGATAGTTGATTATCCCCAGGGAACTTTAGATCGAATAGGTGTTTTGATGCATACATCACGTCGACGTTGTCGGCACTCCGGAAACTATCGACGATCAACGCTAACATTTCTCGCCCCTTGACCATTCCGGGAGTTGTGCCTCTCACACGTCTCTGCATCATCTGCCTCACCTTAAGTTGCACGTCATGAGATCTCTCACCTGCTGCGTGGATGATCGTATGCAGGGTGATACCTAGCTTAGCGTCTATGCTAGCGAACCTTGCCTCGCCTGAGGTCTCGAGTAGAAATGGGTCATATGGTGATCTGAAGGCGTCCGAGAGCCATTGGATCCAATCTTCTTGTTTCTCGTCGCCCGATGCCGTCACGACCGCCGCTACGACCTGGGATTTCCAAACCTCCAGGTCGTGTATCTTGGGCCATGCAGGGATGTTGATCTTTTCGTGTTCCTTCCGAGATATCTTGGAGCCGCCCGAGCTAGAGGATGAAGCGGCACCATGTTCGGTTGCGGCTGCGTTCTCTGCACTTGTGCGCTCCTCTTCGTACCTCTTCCGGTACTTATTCCTCTCATCTCTGAGTCGTGATGCATGCGCTTCGAATTCCATCATGTCCTGTTGGTTCTGCATCATACCCTCATAGTACTCCATTGCCTCTTTCTCCTCGGACTTTAATAACTTTTCAGTACGTTCAAGTTCCGCTCTAAGCTTGGTCATCATCTCATTCTCCACACTGAGTTCTGATCCCATGTCTGGTGGTTTCAATTTCAGTGCGATCTTCAATTGTGCTTCACTTGCGCTTGATTCAATCAATTCTTCCTGAAGACGTTTCAGTATCCTCTCTTTACGTAGAATGTCCTCTTCCAACATGTTCACCTTGACTTCGGCCTTCTTGAGTTCGGCGCTGGATGGTTGAAACGATCGCTCGGACCCTTGAATCCTCGCCTGAGTCAACTCCTCGTTCGCCTTCTTCAACTGCTCTCTGATGCTCAAGATGAACTTGTCCTGATTGTTAGTTCGGTTGTTGAGCTCCTCATTCTCTTCTGATAACCATTTGATCTTGTTTGCATGCATCGCTTCCCTCATCTTCATCTCTTCAATGTATTCGTGTTTGTTTCTGGCACTCTGCCTTTGTAGTCCAACTAACTCTTGTCTACACAGATCCTTGATGTTCTCAGCATCTGCGATTGTAGTCATGACCTCGGTTACGGCTCGATCTCTTTCTGCCGATATAGCCTGGATCTCTTCCGTGCCGATGTTCACAACTTGACTAACCATCTCTGCGCTGTTGCGATCAGCGTACTCCCCCAATTGGGTGAGACGATCCCGCATTGCCACGCGATCAGTGTCCATCTGGTATTGCAGGTCGTGTGCTGCTGAGAGCAAACAGTCTCTGGATTCTGTAAGTTGGGTGATTCTTCGTTGATTTCCATATCCTTCAACATAACATTCTTCGAGGTGTGCCATCACTACTTCGTGGACTTCGGTCTCGTGTTGTATAATCTGGTTCTGTCTCTGCTCACATTCGACCATCCATGCGTTTTGGTGGTTCAACATATGCACTTCGGCAAGTAGTTGCGCACATTTCGCATTCAGGTCTCCATCGGCCCGTGCTAGTTGTAGGTTGTCCGTGCTTGCCCTTGCTCGATCTCCAGCTTCGCTGTCCGACGGCACTGGTACAGCTGACCCATCCTGCAATGCTAACACTCTCACAGCTCCGGTGTCAGTCCTCCTCCTTGTCTCCCTAGTGCTACGGTCTGACCTCGGTGTCCCCCACGGTGGTGTCGAGTGCGCTGACGGGGAACGACTTCGTGCTCTACCTGTCGCACCTTCTCTCACCGCTGTCAGAGTCTCCACTTCGATCGTACCTGGACTAGAGTTGTGGGATGCACTCAACCGATCTGCGGCCGCAGCAGCTGCCCCAAAAGATGCAGTGCTGGCGTCGGATTGGTCCATCTTGAGTGACTGAGGGTAACTGATCTATCCGATGCGTGTGCGTTTAGATGGTGTTGTGTAAGGCCGCAGCACGAACCCAGCTCAAAGGAGTCTGGATACGGCTGATAACCTGCGAACGGATGGAAGGTGTGCCCTGGCCCCGTTCTAGCTCTTAGGTCAACATGAAGCTCGCGCGCTAAAGCTCCTTTTTACCTGGTTGGGCACTTGAGCCAAAAGTATATGGCATGTACCTGTATAGCGACTATACTGGGACCCCATCTCTATTGACATACTAAATGGATTTCCATTTATTGTTGCTTTGTTTCTTTTGTAGTCCGGTTTGTCTGCGGGGCCTTTGCTGGATGACAAAACCCAGGACAAGAGGACGAGGCGCTCAGCCAATAAGCAAACGAATGATTTAGCAAATTATGGCGCCTCGCCTCTAAATCCCGTTCTTTTCACAGAGCCTTAGCCATCTCGGAAATTGGCTTCTAGTGAACTGCCTTGACCAGTATCACATGATCCCCGAGCCAGATCAGAACTTGTGCGAGAAGAGCACAGTGAGCACAGCAGCCCAACAAGAGAAAGCCAGAATCCAGGGCCGTCTACGGCGCGCGCCCGCGTAAATTGGGTTGCAAGATACAAAACACGACGCCACGAGCGAGAACGGCAAAGAAGGCGGGGCAGGAAGGCAGGGAGTATGCCAGGCTCCTGAGCCCAAACAAGCCTCGACAGCAGCGTGTCCAACCTACTAGCGATGGCCTCCAACCTAGTAGCGATTGCCTTCACCCTAAGGGCGATGGCAAACAAACTGATCTCAAGTTCTTTCTGCAGAAACTGCTGAGTATCTTTACGCAACAATGGTCATTGTCCGCGTCACATTACGTCTGGAAATGTCAAGGCTCTGAAGTACTGGTTCAAAGTCTGACAAATGTCAGGCTTGCATTTATTGCGACCTCAAGCCGGACTGCAGGAGAGAAATCGTAATCTCTCCTGACTAAAGCCCATCGTGATCAGTTGCAGGGCCACATCCTGCAGAGCTTGCAGCCCAGCGTATTCGGGTCCTACACTGCCAAGACCGGCTGAGCCCCGAACGCTTTGTGTCCTCCGCTTGACCTAGGCACTGCCGCCACCATGCAAGATTCCAGCTATTCCCACACCATCATTGGTCGCCTTGCTCGCCTCCTCTGGGGGCGGCGGTGGCAATAGCATTGGGTCCTAACTCAGAAGCGGAATCTTCTGACCAAACCACTACAAATCCACTCGATTGCCAATGTTCGATTGCTTGTGTGCCAAAGACAATTTTCCATATTCGCGCATGTCTCATCGGCTGCTGTGCAGGATGTCTATGTACACGGCCTATCACAATGAGGTCACTCACCGTCCTGCCAACAAGGTCTGCATTCTGCAATCCGTTGCAACACAAATCTAGGTTGGAGCCCATCGCTGCAAGGTTGGAGGCCATCGCTAGTAGGGTCGAGGCCATCGCTGCTAGGTTGGAGGCCGTCGCTACTAGGTTGGAGCCCATCGCTGCTAGGTTGGAGGCCATCGCTACTAACATGGTACCACATGTCACCCACAAGAGCTTTTTTAGGAAGCAACATCGCTCTGTGCCACCTGGCTTGGAGATTCCTGAATGAAGCATAGAGAGTGACTAGAAAGACTTGAAAGACCATCCAGGCTTGTTCTAAAATAATGTTGATTCTTAGCTGTGGAAGGTGCAATCCGTGCAACGACAACTGTGGTTTTGGCGCAGACCGTGGGTTTTGCTCCTGCGTCTTCTGCTTCATGCGCTCAATGTCAAACAGCACACCCCGAAACATGCGCTCCTGGCGAAACCAGAAGGCACAAAGATCTCTTGACAGTAGAAAGGACAAGTAAAGATCTCTTTGGCACTGACATGTCGATCTTCGCCCAACGCCCTTGTCTACTCTTAGATGCTTGTCTTCCCCTTCTACTTCGCCGGGTTAGATACTTTCGCTGAAGGGTATGTGTAGAACAGTGTGGTTGCCCCTCACGTGTACTGGCATGAAACTGCAATGAGGCCTTGCACAAGCTCTTTCTTTACAAACATCCTTGGTTTTGCCCCATGCTGACTGAGGACTCTGAAGGTTGATCCATCTTCATTTTATCGGTTGTGTTCAAGGATTGCACAAATGAATTGTTTTCGGGTGCCTTGTCGATGCTTCTGCTCATAACAGCATAGCTGGCAGTCCCAATTGTCGCCACAACTGCTAGGCCAAAAATCACGGCAGGTACGTTGATCTTTCTTCGAAACATGGTTCTGAGCCGAAAGCTGCTTCCTCGGCGTAGGCGTGGAAAGGGTAAATATAATTGTATAAGAACTAGTAGCTTCTTGTTACTAGTCTTAGTACAAGCAAAGAACCGGACGGGAGCATGCTTCATGAGGCCGTACAGCACTGCTTTGAGCACTAGTAACTAGAAGGTTCTTTGGGAATCGTTTCACCTGCAACAAGAAAGCTTTTTAGTATGTCTGTCTTTGACGCTTCTTAGTAACAAGAAAGCTACTAGGTTGAAGGCCATCACTATTAGGGCCAAGTAGAAAGCTTTATTACTAAGAAGCTCCAAAGACATACCAAGAAACATTCTTGTTCAAGGTGAAACGATTCCCAAGGAAGCTTCTAGGATGCTTCACGAGGCTGTACAGCAATGCTTTGAACAAGAATTGCAAAGCACAAAGCATCTCCTGTAGTTCCTTCACCTCTGGCCGTGGCATCTGCGGCATCTGCGGCATCTGCGGCATCTGCGGCATCTGCGGCTGCGCTGGAGCTGCCGCAAAGGACCTTTACCACAAAACGGTGCTCGCTTCAGTGTTGCAAATCGATGAATATCGCTTCAGCCGACAGTGAGTCAATCAAAAAGGGCAGATTCACCCAAACGAACGAAAAAAAAAAAAAAAGTCTCTATCTTTCTATCGTTTGATATTCCTTTCTATCTTTTGTGGGTCTTTTCCTGTGCCATAAGGTTGTGGCTGGCCCAGCTTCGAAGCCATGAACTCCGCAGCTTCCTGCCCGACCGTCCTCCCTCACCAGATCACAAACAACTCACATAATCCTCTCATTTTTAGGTGATTTACCGTGCCACTTTAAAAGCATATAGGCGATTCCACCCAACATTCACCTGAAAGAATGAAACACCTGTACTTGCAGGGTTGCAGACCAAGCTCCACAAGAACTACCAGCAATAGGTAGCAATAGCACAGTGGCCCAAGCACAAGAGGTAGAAGGAGGAAAACAAAAGAGTTGTATTTTTGTGTCTTTATTATTGTTTTTACCATAGTACTACTACTACTACTACTACTACTACTACTACTACTACTACTACTAAGTAGTCCTTCAACTTCATCCTCTCATGCCTTAAAGCTTCGTTGCTATCTTAGGATGAAACTACCAACACCACAGCTACGAACCTTGCCTCCAAAAACCACTTTGGGCCTCAGCCACACGGACCCCAAACCAGAAATCTTGCAGAATTAACAAGGGGATCGCTACTAGGAGCAAGGACGCTACTAGTAGCTCCTGGCCGTACTACTAGTAACAAGACCTAGTAACAAAGGGTATCGCTACTAGGAGCAATTACGCTACAAGAAGCTACTAGGGGCTCCTGGCATCGCTACTAGGAGCAAGGACGCTACTAAATGTAATGCACTCAAACATCCCCAACCAAACTGGAGAACAAAAGGCACCACACGACAGAAGTTTCTTTGTCCGGAGTGGAACGTGGGCTTCGTCACGCTGCTAATCCAAACCAAATTTAGGCCTTTTGATGCTGCGCGGTGAAAGAAGTTCAACTTTGACCAACAGCTGTGCCAGCTCCCAGTGAAACGTTTCCCAAGGAGTGGCAGTCTCAGCCAGGACATCTCCGTGAAGCGATCGATGCAGGCCATGCAATTGCTTTTGCAGCGAAGCAGAAGGACCATTGTCTTGTTCAAGGTCCGGCAAGGTGTTGCCTTCCATCTCCGGTTCATCCCGTTCTCCACGTCTTGCTCGTACAGTCCCAGCCACATGACACATGGCTCTAACGCACTCTGCATCAGCGTCAAAAGCTGTGCAAACTTCTTGGGAGAACTTGTGCTCAGTGTTGGTATCCCTCGAGGCAACTCAAAGTGTCCCAAAACATCTAGAGACGTCTTCGAAGAACCTCACCACTCAGAGGGGGGGGGGGGCGGGGCCCGGCGGGGAGCTGCTTCCCTACAGAACTCGTGTTTTTCTCACCTCGAAACGAAGAGCCCGACGAAGAGCCCGTCTTGGTTCGTTTCTAATAGCGATGGCCTCCACCCTAATAGCATTCTTGTTACTAGTAGTAAGGCCAGGAGCTACTAGTAGCGTCCTTGCTCCTAGTAGCAATGGCCTCTGCAGTCTTGGTTCAGCTCTCTGAGCGCTTGGCGTACTCCATTGTGCCCGCCTCATGACATGACAGAAGCACATCTGGGACCGTATGACGTCACCCACCTGCCTTCAAAGGTCACCAGTTTCCTGGAGAAATGTTAAAAGAGCCGGGAAGCAACAAGAAGCATTGGTGGCATATGTTACTTTATGTTTTCTATTGCAGCTTTTGTGGCTTATGGGCCTGAAGACCAGCTGAGGTCATCACCGAATCTCAGAGCCCCAAGCGTGATGCAAGTCATACGTGTGGTGGGGCAGAATGAAATCCTCAAGACTTGAGTTCTCTTTTGCAGTGAAAGTCCCCTTCTCTCTGATCAGGCTCCCAACATCATCGGTAGCCGTAGCAAACAATGCTGGAGACCTCTGACTGAGTGGAAATAATGAAATATAATAAAATTATAGAAGGCTACTAGGGGCGCTTGTGGCCGCAAGAAGCTACTGGGAGCAAAGGGCATCGCTACTAGGAGCAAGGACGCTACTAGGGGCTCCTGGCCGTACTACTAGGAACAAGGACGCTACGAGGCGCTCCTGGCATCGCTCCTAGGAGCAAGCACGCTAATAGGGGCTCCTGGCCGTACTACTAGGAACAAGGACCCTACTAGGAACAAGAAGCTACTAGGGGCTCCTGGCATCGCTACTAGGA